AAAAAAAAAAAAAAAAAAAAAGCATACGCCACGTAGAGCTTCGCACGCGATTATGGAACGTCACACCATCCGACGCACACGTCAAAGTTCCTTGTAAAATCGAAAATGCGATGTTGACTGACGGGCCGATCGTATCGTCAACAATGTGTTAATGATCGACAACAGTATCCGATATCCGGTGGATTATTGACGATATCGAACGATCGATTCCTGTGCATTTATACATTGGCAGCGGAGATATGCCTATCGAGGTGAAACCAGAAAGCTAGCAACGTCCTATGGTGGCCGTGATATATATTTTTCTCGTCGGCGCGGACACATTTTTAATTACGTTGCGCGGGGCCAGTCCGCTTTTTGCGGACCGGGTATGCGTATCTTGTTTCTGGCCGGATTTCCTTTTACCGTGAGCGACCGTTTCTTGCGCGACGCGCACGCTACCCGTGATTATCCACGGCTCGTCATTCATGCCTGATCAATAAGCTACAGTTAATTGCACACGCCGCGGTAGAACGAATTGTACGTCAGAGTTCAGTCGCGAGGGTCCCCCAAGTGGAATACGCTCGTCTCGTTTTAATTAGCGCTACACATCCAATGAATCCGATCTATTTCAAACCAGATTAAGCGGTCGTCGAGCTTTCTTGCGGAATCGGCAGAGAAAGAGAGAGAGAGAGAGAGAGAGAGCTCATTTGAAATGGAAACGAAGTGGCCCAAGGCAATTCCCTTGTGCGTTCCTTTTTTTGAAGCCCTTAAACGCCGCATAAGTAAACGCATTATGTGGCATCCGAGCGAGATCCGAGAATGAGTTCGCTAAACGGAATGATAGAGCGTGTCAGCGAGAGACAGAGAGAGAGAGTCCCGGCCGGGCGATCGCCCGTTTCGATATCTCGTTTATTAACGATACTTGCAAATCACTTTCCGCTTTATTTCTTCGTACTGAGAAATCGCCGTGCTAAAGAGAGTTACAATTTTAACGTCGTTACATCTTGCTTGATTTAACGTGCATAATGGCCGGCTGCGCGCACCGAGCGAGATAGACGCGAGCGCCAATAATCGATCAAAATCACCAGGAGGGGGTATATGTATCGAGAGAGTATCGACCAACAGTCGCGGTAATTAGCGCATCGCTCGCGGTTAATTGAACCGCGTTAGTTCTCTTTTTTTTTTTTCTTCTTTTTTTTCAAACGACCTCTACGTGTGTGTGCGTACTTCTGTTTCTACGTGTTCCCACGAACGCAACTAACTGAATGTCACATCCATCAAGCTAAATTGTAACTTCCGCCGCGACGAGAGGAACCGTCCATTCATTCCCCAAATTGTCCGACTTTTTTTTAGTAATGTAAAATATCACGATAACATCAGGATTATTGTACCAAACTTCCTCGCCGTTCATGCGATTCCCGAACCCCTCGATAATTCCCATCGGATATGTCTTTCGCGGTCGAATTGGTAGTGTGACTGACTCGTCCGGGCGTCGATCGCAAGCGAAAGTCAAATTAAGATGACAATCTTTAACTGCGAGACCACGCTCGACAAATGTGTGTGTGTGTGTATGTGCGCGCGCGCGCGCTTAAGACATCTACTTCTCGGCGCAAAGTCTTCTTCTTCCTTCGTGCATCTCGTGCTGGGATATCGATATTGAAACGTAAAAAAGATTCAATCAGTCGCGAAGTTTCAGCGCCAATCAATCACCCCTTCCCGCCCGGTCCCTCGTCCGTTCGGCTTTAGGACGCGAAAGCTCCCTCGCGCGCGCAGCCCGCACTGGCGCGCCTGATCGCGACGACGACGCTAAAATGGCCGTGTGGGAGAGAGAGGCGGCGAAAGAGAGCGAGAGACCGAGCGAGAGGAGAAGAGGCCGATCCAGAGTGCGAGGAAGACGCGCTGACGGACCACGGGGGTCGAAACGAGAGAGAATCGCGGCCGAGAGAGAAAGAATGACACGGGACCGGGCGCGAGAGCGAGTCGGAGAACGAGCTTTCGGGTGCACGACGGAGTCGACGCACTGGAAGCTCGCCGTGCTTGCGGCGGGAGCTTCAGTAGCCGTTCGTACGTCGACCGGAAAACCTTTCACGTTACCGTCGTCCTTAGACGTGCCATCGTCGGCGAGGGTTCGCAGGGGGGTCCGTGACCCGCGCAACCCTACGTCGATCGCTGCCGATTTTTTCTTTTTTCTTTTTAAGTTTCCGATTTCGAGAGTTTGAGTGAGGACGATACGCACCCGTTACCGTCGCCGACCGCGCGCGAAGCGTTTATTGTTGTAAAAAAATATTGGGAAGGAACCAATTCATCGAGGAATGTACAGTGCAGTGTTTGGATCAATGGATCGACTCCTCCTTCGCGGATCTTACTGGAGCTCGAGAGTGTTGATATAAAAGCGGATCTCTTGAATAAAAGAACGCGTGTATATGAGTGCGTAATCGACGAGATCATATCGGAAACATCATGCCAAGTGCCACGAGATACCGGAACGCGCGTTCTACCCTTTCCGCGTCGCTTCTTTGCCTCTTCGCCGCCGTCACCGGTAAGAATTAAGAGAGAACCGCGTAAACACGGTGGGATTTTGTCTTCGATTTACTGGAGCTTCTTTTCGTTTTCGTTTCAAATCGCAGGTGTAACAGGAGCACGTTCTTCGGAAGATTAAAAAACAAGTACACGAAATAAGAATAATGTGTTTGACTTGTAAGAAAATTTGATCGTCAGGATATATAACTCAGTGTTGTTTGGGCAATTTAAAAACTTATAATTAAAAACTTATTTATCGTCAAAAACAAAGCGGAGGATGTTTTGGATGGGAATTTACTGATCGATAACGCCTTTGTACAAATCGTATCTATTAACGCGCGCGCGGACGAAGAGAGCGATAAAAAAAAAAACCGATAACTTCGACACGGATCTCATTTGAAGCTCGAAGGAATACTTACGAAGAAGCACTTACGTGTATGAGCTCGCGAAGGAAGAAAAAAATCTCGCCGATGCGCATCACACGACACGAGCTTTTACGTACGCGGGAGAGCCAGTTGCCAGCAATCTCACACTACGCTCTTCGCATTCAAACGCAAGGAAAATGTCCGATTTACCGTGAAAATACGTGCGTTTTTCTTCAACAATCGCGCTTGCGATCCTTTTCTCTCGCGAAAATGGAAAATTCGCTGAACGCGTTTTCGTGTCTCGGCTGAGCGATTTCGAGAAAAGCTCCGTTCGAGCGTCGGGACCGAAATCGCGCAGGGCGAGGTGAGGAAGTTGATTTGGAGGACACGAGTTTCTCGGTGTCTTAAACAAAGCGAAGCGCTCGATCCGTTCTCCAAACACGGACCGGATCATGGGTTCTAGGGTTCGGAGTTTGGGGAAAAACGGTTATAGAGTCTCACAGCTGCGCGCTTTCGCTTAAACGAAAACTCCGTATAAAACTACATCCTGGGGTATTGGAAAATCGGAAAGAATGCAGAGAGAGAGAGAGAGCTAGGGGAAACTTTTCTCTTTTCGTCGTTCCGATTTCGAGGTGGATATAACCGACGATGATCGCCGATCCTCTCAAGGTATAAGCGCGCGAGAGATACGCGAATAAGAAAAACCACCGAAGCGAAACATTTTTGATTCGAGTGCGCGAATCCAAGTGAGTCATTGCGATTTCCGTTCTCTTTGTCCGATACAAATACCGATCGACGGACAGGATCAAAGCCTCTTTTGTATCGTCTTAACAAGATAAAATCATGAATATCCGTTTCGAATCAAAAAGACGACGAAATGCGTATCACGTTCGCGCGTTCTCCGGTGCGTGGGTTTCTCGGTCTAAGCTCGCGCGAAACAAAAGGATTTCGATCGCGAGATGTTCGAGATCAAGTGGATGAAAACGGAGGCTAACGAAGCGAATATACGATTTGCGAGAGGATCTAAATGCTTTGTGTCGGCGCGAGTTATCAGGTCGCTCGGAAAGAGTTTTCGAAAAATCGCGGACAATGTGAAGAGCTCTAATGGCGATACGATAAACGACAAAATGGAAGATCTAATTGCTTCTTAAAGTGTTCGAAGAAGACGAAGAAGTGTGTCCCGCGCATAAAACTCGCGGAAAAAAATCGCGAAGAAAAAAAATCATAAAAATCAGTCACTTTGATACAGCGAGTTGCTTTTATATAGTGGGGTTTTTACCTTTTATATTTAATCTATCCTCATTTCGTGGTTTCACTCGTGAAGTTTACATCAACTCGTAAAAGTTCTCTCTCTCTCTCTCTTACATTTTAATGGCTTATTCAATATCGACCTACTTAAGCGAAGGATTTTCTATTATTTAAATATTATCTTCGAAATAACGTAATAATTATTTACACTCGCGCACACTCGAAAGTGATAAATCAATTAAAACGGGATTAATGGAAGTGAAAAGAGAAAAAAAGGGCGGACACCGACCAATCGTACGTGAAGTAAGGCTACCGAACTTAAATTGCAGAGTCAAAAGGAAACACATAAAACTTGCTCTAACTTTGTAATGTAATAAACGTTAATCAAACTATACCAGGTCGCTGGGACCATTTCGCTGCTGAAGTGTGACAGTCGTCGGAACTATAAAGCTACGTAGAAGAAATAATTCTCTTGCAAACTTGCTGAATTTTCTTGCACGCGAGACCGCTTTACGAGTCCGCGAGTCATATTCGTGCGCGCGCGCGCGCGCGCAGGGAGCAGAAAATCGTCCACATTTTAATTTATTCGCTAGTACGGTTCGTTCCTTCCTCTCGGTTATCTCTCTGTAGCTCTATGTAAATCGTGGAAAATCACGTAAGACGAAAAACGCGAACTCCGCATCCCTGACCGAATCTCCGTGAAAATATATATAAGAAAACTCGACACCGGTATATTCTTTTATTCCGGAGATGAATTTTTTGGTCGACCTGGTTTTCGGGAAAGTGAGAGCCAAGCGCGCCCTCCCACTTGATTTAAATCATTACCGAGCCGGTTATTCATTCGCGCCATTTGTCTCGATAACGCGCTCGAGAAAAAATTAATTCTTTTTCCCGCACAAATATCCCGTAAAAATACCCACGTCTCTCCGATATTGATTTGTGCCGACGACGCTCTTAAACATCAATATAACGAACCGAGAAAGGGAAGGTGGATGAACGCGCGAACCCCGCCGCAAAAAGTGCCACGCAAACAGACATCACGATGACCGATCCTGCTTACCTGACGAATATAAGGAAGATTATTCCGTCTATCTTACGCGGTTTTATCGCGATACTCGGCCAATCAGCATATCGCATTATGCGCAGCGCGACGGAATCGCGACGAGACATTTTCATAATCCGATACGTACCAATGACTGTCGTCGATCGTGTGAACATCGACGAGACGGAGAGAACATTGCATAATGCATCGAATCATAATAATTTCGCGATCCGCGACGTTACAAGAAAGATTCGCCCGAAGTGACAATTGTGATTGGAAAAAATTGTGAATTTTTAAAATGTATAACGACATTTTTTTATCAAAAATATTTCTGTAAAATAAAGTAGATAAAATAGATATATATATTGTTACAGTTTTTAAAAATATATATTGTTCGATTCACAAGCGTTTATAGTTTATTTATTAGTTTATGCAGAATCAATACCGAGCAGCTTGTAATCTATTTACGTTGTTGCGTTGAATTAAATGTTCCGCGAAACGATATCCGAATTATATATAGCTCTAATAAACTATAATCCGCTACTTATCGATTTGTTCGAAAATATGCGCAGTAAGTTTTCGTCTTTTTCTCCAAGAAATGTAACTGCAAGTAGGTATCGCGGACTTTTTTCACGCGCGTTGAGTTGAATAATTCGTTTCTAACTGTTAAATAACGAGTGAAAAAACTTAAGCGAAATCGGGCGGAGGAAGAGAAATGCATGAAATGTGGATGAGATATGGATGTTTTCACGTGATTTTAGGAATTTTTATGCCGGAAAAATTCTTGCTTTCTACCGAGCACTGAGAAATAATTCATTTCGCTCGCGTCGGACGTTATCGTATTCCCGATTTGTCGGGCAGCCTCTTGCGTCACATTGCGGCGCGCGCAATCCTCGCGGTGATAACTGTGTGCGGTTTTAATCATTAAAATCGGATCAGGGATGGAAAAAAAAAAAATGTTTCTTTTTCCCGGCGGACGTGTCCCGCGTGTCCGATTTTCGCGGCGGCATAATTAAAGTGTCACGTGAGAAGTAATGTAGATGGGGTGTAAAAAAGTAAGAGAAGAGAGACCGACGTAACGGGGCGCGCGCTCGCCCGCCCGCGTCTTTGTTCTTTGGCGGTGGGGGCGGCGAGGCGGGAACGCGAAGCGGACTTAGCTGTGAGAAATTAAGCAATTAAGCCGCGTATTTTATTACCGGAGATCCGAGGTTCAGCTAGTCTTATGCGATCTCAACCGGTAGTCGGGATTCGCTCGCGATCGTGAGTGCAGAACGTACAGACGCGTTATTAAGATATCATGTAACTGGAAACGGCCGCTTCCGAGGAAGAGAGATAATAGAATGCGCATAGGAAGTCGATAAAAGATAACAAAACAGAAGGCTAGCTTACTGCTTGTTCTCAACGTGCAATTAGAATATGTACAATTAGATTCTTTGAGTTCTGCGCACATGCTTGAGATTATTTATTAATCAATTTCTCTTTGTGACAGATGATACGACTTTATATCAGATGTATGTATCAATTGCAAATTATTTTTTGAAACTGAATTTTAAAAAAACTGTTTAGGAAAATCTGAAGAGAAATGAGGTAAAACTTTATTAATTTTTATAGAAACTCTAATATGATTGCGCTAAATGGCGATACCGTTTTTCTCGGACGGAAAATTATTTTCTCCATTAGGGGCTTAATAAGCATCCCTCGTTCGACGGTTAATATCTGCTTTAATTATCGCATAAATGCAATTTAAACGTGAATGAGCACCGTGGAGCAGTCACGCGCGCTCGCGAGAGAAATGGACGTTCTGCGTAATTTATATCGCACATTTTTTTTGCAAATTATGATGTATACAATTGTCGTATCGTTGGAAATATTTCAGCAATAACGAACACGTGTGTGTTTAGGCATATAATTAGTTAATAATAATTAATTATGTGAAATAAAAAACTATAAACAGAATCAAAAAATTATATCATCATATAAATAAACCTTTCTGCGTAAAATGTTCATCGCGATATATCGTATGCAAATTTTCGTGGACGTAAATACAATGCGCGTAAAGAAAAATGAGAGAAGAATATCGCGAATATAAAGAGAGCTGATGAGAAAATAAGAAAACGAAGTATTCACCAAAGTAAAACAGAAGTTCAAGGCAAGATCTTGCGCGCGGGATTATAATTAGAGCTTATTCTTTAAGAGAATATTGAAGCTTCGATTATTGATAATCTCGTCGAGCGGTGTTTAACATCTTCCTTAATTAAAACACCGTTAATGAGCGTAATGTGAAGAATGAGCTCATTAAATGTATGCAAAACAAACTCAACAGTTTTTGAGGAAGAAAATGAGAGGACGCGGCAAGTATGGGGA